ACAAGTTAAGATATATCGATATATCGAATTCTCTATCGATAGCTCTACATTCCATGGCGGTAAAAATAAAAAATCTCAATTACGAGGCTTACAAAATTATTAAAAAAATGTGTAATCGAAAGCATGAAAATAAATACATTGAAATGTGGTGTCCATCTTAGGGTCTCGAAAGTGTCCATCTTAGGGTAAATGACACCATTTTTTGAAACCCAGAAAAAAATTGTATACAAACAAAATATTAATAAAATCATTTTAGAATATTATTATATGATAAATAAATAATATTATAACGATAAATACCTATCTAAAATCAAAAATTTAAATAACTTTATCGACTTGAGAAAAATCGGAAATGAAACTTTTTTTGACAAAAAATTCAGGTGATATGCAGTAGAAAAAAAACTGGTTTTATTTTTCAAATATGCATAAAAATGTTCGTCTATACAAACAACAAAAATAAAAAAATTGAGAAGATGCTGTCACTTTAAACAAAAATTTTATAGGAAATGTCCATCTTGGGGCCCTCTCCCCTATAGTTGTCAGAGTTGAGCCCTTTTTGAAATTTGAGGCATTTCACGTCAGAAATATCACGATTTGCAAATGGTATGCCGATTTTCGCAAAACTTCGTGGGATTATAGTTCTATATAAGAAAATTCTTTCCCCCAAATTTAAAAAAAAAATTCAAAATTGTTGAAGATACGCCATTTTGAATTTTAATATTAATTTTATAAAATTTTGAAAATCTCGAAATATTGTTTATGGATTTTTATGAAATTTACACATTTTTCAGGTAAAAGTATGTACTTTAAAATGCAAATAAAGTTATTGAAAGAAAATTAATTTTTAAATAAAAAAATTAAAAAAAAATTTTTTAAACAATTTTTTGTTTATTTACTCCTCTCTGACAAAAATGTTATTAACATATTTGGATTCCTTATGAATTCACCTTTAATTTCATAAAAAATATTGATGGAGACTTAACTGGTTCCGGAGATATTGAAGTTTTTGTAAAAAATAGTCATAGTTACAGCAGCTATGCACAACTGCGGTAACGTACTACGCGACTTGTGCAGTATGGTGCTATGGCGCAGCGATACTTTTTTTTACAAAAACTTCAATATCTTCGGAACCAGTTGAGTCTCCATCAATTTTTTTTATGAAATTAAAGGTGAATCCATAAGGAATCCAAATATGTTAATAACATTTTTGTCAGAGAAGAGTAAATAAACAAAAAATTGTTTTAAAAATTTAAAAAAATTTTTTTTATTTAAAAATTAATTTTCTTTTAATAACTTTATTTGCATTTTAAAGTACATACTTTTACCTGAAAAATGTGTAAATTTCATGAAAATCCATAAACAATATTTCGAGATTTTCAAAATTTTATAAAATTAATATTAAAATTCAAAATGGCGTATCTACAACAATTTTGAATTTTTTTTGAAAAAATTTGGGGGAAAGAAGTTTCTTATATAGAACTATAATCCCACGAAGTTTTGCGAAAATCGGTATACCCTTTGCAAATCGTGATATTTCTGACGTGAAATGCCTCATTTATGAAAAAAATTTAATCGTTTTAATAAAAAAATATATTAGTACCGTAAACTGGGGCTATTAGGAACACCGGGGCTATAAGGAACAAAATTCTGTTTTCGGGTGGAGTTGATGCTATCGGCGCCGTTTATCGATAAATTGTGTTACCAAAATTCACAAATGGCGGGTATATAAGGAACACAATTATTTCTTCCGAATTGTTAAAGTGTGTTGTCGAAACGTAAGTTTTTCGTAATTTCTTTTGTTTTTTATCACCTAATTTGGTTTTTAGTGTTCAAAGATGGTTCGAAATTATAGAAGAGTTTTGGTACCGACAAGTCGCAAAAAAACGACCAGTGATTCCATCATCGACCTCAACTGATGATACCAGCAACGTTTAAAACACACATTCGCTCTTTTAGTTTTGTTTTTACATTTGTTTTATATTCTGTGTTTACTTTCGAGCAATAAAAAATAACTTCTTTAACTTTAAATACGTTTTCCAATGGTTTTTACCACCTTGTTCCTAATAGCCCCATTTTGTAATTTCGAAAAAATGCGTCTTTTTCGTCTTTTTTGCTTAAAATTTTAGCTTTGATCAAGGTAATTATTTAACCCTCCAATGTGCTCGCCAAGATCAGGAAAAAAGACTAAAAATTAAGGCAATATTTCAATACACAAAAAAGTTGCAAGACTTTAAAGTTGAAATCTGTTCCTAATAGCCCCAGTTTACGGTATATGATGTTTTTGTTTAAAAATATAATCCACTAATTTATTTCTCTTTTTTAACTACAGTAGCTTTCGCCCGACAACGTTGGGCCTCTTCAACGTTGGAATTCGAAATGGATTAATTCCTTCAATTTAAAAAAATATAATTTATAAAAAATGCGCTTTTGAAAAAAGTAAATTAAGGAATTAATCCACTTCGAATTCTCATCTGAAGAGGCCCAACGTTGTCGGGCGAAAGCTAATGTAGTTAAAAAAGAGAAATAAATAAATGGATTATATTTTTGAACGAAAAACAAAAACATCATATACTAAATTTAAACAATCCAAAAAATATTTACATCTATTATAAAAAAATATATGAATGAAATGTTTTACTATCGAGAAACAATTTATTTATTTAATTTTAAAATGTATTAATTTTTTTAAACTAAAAAACAATTCAGAAGAAAAAAAAAGTTTGTTTTGTTAGAAAACAAACCATCTTAGGTTAAAAGTCAAAGGAAAACACACTTTAATACATTTTTTCTCCGCTAAAAGTACTTCAGATGAAATTTTCCTTTTAAGAAAACGTCAATAAATGTGTAATATAATGCAAAAAAGTAAAATTTGAAAAAAAATCCCAGTTGAGCCCTTTTTGAAATTCACGATTCAATTGAATATTCGAGGAGTTATAGAAGACATTTTTAGAAATAAAAATTTGAAATAATTTTAATTAAAAATTCTAAAGAACCTAGTTATTTGAAAAATGTTGATAGAAATTTGTTGAATTTTTTAATATATAATTGAAGAATATTTTAATATTCCAAAGTTTGTAAAACTGAATTAAAAACAATGTAATTTTGGTTTTGTTTCTTTGTTTTCAATGTAATTGAATTCTTAAAGAAATTTCTCAAAATTTTTAAAAATAATTTTTTTAGAAGAGAGTTTTAGTTAAAAATTCTAGAAAAAAATTGATTTTTGGAGAAGTTGCATTATTTTTTAATTTTTTGGAAAAAATTACGTTTCAGAAGTAATTAGTCCTAATTGAAAAATTATCAAACACTATTGTAAATGTAATTAATTTTTATTAAAGTAAATTTTATTACGATTTTTTAAAAATAATCGTGTTCTTAAAAAATTTTTTAATTTTTTAAGAAAAATGTGATAAAATTTATCTTTAATCGCGATTAAAGTGACTTTTTTGCACCTTAAAGTCGATCTGAGGCCTGAATTTATATTTATATTTTACTTAAAGAATAAAATTCTTTTTTAATTGTAACAGTATTTTAAATTTAATATTTATAAACCACATTGAAATTTATATTTATTTTATTTAAATTGAAGAAAATAACTTTTTTAATTCTAAACTTAAATTAATAAAACTTGAATTTTTTTCCAAATTCTTTTATTATGCAACAAAATTAAGAGTTCTTTAAAATTATTTTAATAAAAAATTTATGAAATTATTTAATTATATTGTTGTGAAAATGTTTTTTAATTTGATGTTCAAATTCATGTGTCGATATTTAAAATGAGAATGATCATCTTTCGAAATATGACGATGAATAGATATCAAAATAATATAAACGCCTGTGCACAATGGCTTTGAGGAAAGAATGTGCTTAAAATCATTTATTGTTGAAATAAGTCTCTTATACACTTCTAACTTTAGCATGATTCATATTCGCAGAGCCTGTATGCACGATATTTGCAATTGATGACATTCAAGATTACACTTTTTTAAATTTAATAATCGAAAATCAACTTTTACTATTTTCTTCTTACCATTCATTGAAACTTTTCTATTTCATTATTTCTTTTATTATTATTATTATTATTATTATTATTATTATTATTATTATTATTATTATTATTATTATTATTAGTTTTATTATTTTATTGCACACTTAAAATTTCTTTTATTGGTCCAAAACTTTATTTAAAATTTATTTACATTAGAAATAAAGTTTCCTTAATCTTCTTTAAAATTACTTAATATGAAAATAAATTTTAATAATCAAAATTTATTTTTGACAGAAGTTGAAAAAATTTTTCTTCTTATAAGAAAAAAAAATTGTTTTTAATTTCATAATCACTTTAATCTGAATAAATATGCGGAACCGTTAAGAAAATAACTTGTAAAATATTTGTAATTTTTGAATTAAATTTACTTTCAATCTCTTTTCGGAAAGCATGTAAATTCTTATGCTTTTATGCTTTTTTAACTTGAAAAATGTAGAAGTAGACACATTAACTAAGTATTTTTTAAACTTTTGACAAATGTTCAAAACTTAAAATCCTCAAAAATTATAAATTATTTTAAAAGACAATAATAAATTAAATGAAGTTTTATAATCTTTACTATTTTAAAGTTATAATTATTAAAATTTTTAAAATTCGTCTGATTAATTAGTTGTTATATTTAAATATTTTTATTCTTTAATTTTTTTTCTTTATTATTATTATTACTATTGCTATATTATACTAGATTTTATTGAGTTAATTTTTTTATTATTCAATAATTCGTAATGTGTATTTTTTGCAGAATCGAAATGTTTCAATGAATCTTAATTCTTATTTTTTACCTAGAAATAAAATTCAAACGGATTCTAAATTTCGATAATATCGAAATAGCTCACATTTCATCCCTCCCAAAAAAACCAAATTAACTATATTGTTTGTTCATCCATATTTATTTAAATTTTGTTTAATCGAAATATAATTAATTTTTTCTTCTCACTTTTATTTATTTTTCTAGCTTCTTGACACCGAACAGCGAAGTATGCTACTCGAATCGGACGTGAGTATCCTCTCAAAATTAGCGGCAGAAGCTGGAAGTTCTCTTGATTCAGCTCAAAATGATTTACAAAATATGTCCGATGAATTAGCTCAATTATATCATCATGTTTGTACTGTGAATGGCGAGACACCATCGAGAGTTATTTTAGATCATGAAAAAATTGTCCCTGAAAAAGAGGAGGACAATGAGAAAATTGAATGGTGTCGAACACTCTTCAAAACTGACATTAAAATCGAAGATCTCGAGAGTCTCAGTAAAGCAAAAGAAATTGCTAAATATATTGAGACTGCAATGGATCAAATAAAACATCTACGAAATGCAGTTGAACACACGATAGAATTATCGAAACTGAAGGGCATGCAGACAACTATGTGCAGTGTATGCGAAGGTAACTTTTTTTAAATTTTTTGTAGAGAAATAATTAGGAACAAAAATTATCGTACTTCGTAGGAATATATGCTTCGGTGATTCTCCTGAAAGCGTACCATTTCTACAAATTTCCAATCTGTAAAATTAACGGTAATGGTTATGTGAGAAATGTCATTTATTTCAATTTCTCGAAATAAGAAAATATTAATTTACTTATCAGGTTTTGAAAACTTGATCCTCAGTTATAGAAATTCATTCTTCACAGTCTGTCCCCTATTTCCCTAAAAGTCCCCTTTTTTTAATTTTGGCCCCTAAACGTACCCTTTTGATTTTTGAAAATTTCCCCTAAATTTCCCTTATTTTTTTCGTCGCAGGAAATCAATTATTTTCAATAATTTTTAAATAATTCTGCAAAAGAATTCAATTATCTTGATAACCAACGAAATTCTTCCCATAAAATCAATTATTTTAAGGATTTTTAATGAAATTCTTTTCCAAAATTCAATTATTTTGATAAATATTAAAATTCTTCTCAAGAATTCAATTATTGTCAAAAATTTTAATTAAATTCTTGGCAGAATTTCAATTATTTAAACAAAATTTAATAAAATACTTTGCACGAATTCACTTATTTTTATTTTTAATGAATATCTCGTCAATTCAATTATTTTTATAAATTAGCAACATTTTTCGCCAAAAATTCAATTATTTTCAAAAATTTGAATAAAATTCTTTGCAAAATTTCAATTATTTTCAAAAGTTTTTCGCAATTCAATGTTTTTTAATATTTACTATTTTCATAAAATTTATCAACAGATTTAATTATAAAAAAAACTTGTTGATACAATTCTACGAAAAGATTCGGTTCCCGACCATTTTACCGAATCCACTTTACCTAATGAAAAATTTACCTATTGACCATTTTACCGCAAGCTCTTTTTCCCGAAAACTATTGTACCGAATGCCTTTTTACCGAATTGACAAGATCCCGAAGAAAAAAAATGTAATAAATGAACACATTTAATTATAAAAGTTAAAATTTATAAAATGTATGAAAATTCTACAAATAAATAATAAAAAATCAAAATGAATAGAAAATGAGCAAAACTAATTTTGAAATAAATGATGAAGGTGAACTGACGAAAAATTTATATCTTACGAATAACAATTTTGACGGTTGCTAGGGAAACAAAGTTTCGAAAAAAATGACATTCGAAAATAGCAAAAAATTACCAAAAATACTTTGCCTACTTCTCATATAAATTTTACTTTGCACTACAAATTTTTACTAAAATTTACATCGAGAATAGCAAAAATTGACAATAATACTTTTAATACTACAGTAGTAAATTTTACTTTGCATTCAAAATTTTTACTAAAATTTTAATCTAGAATAATCAAAATTTCTTTGTAAATTAAAATTCGGTAATAATGCATTCGGTAAATTGGATTCGGTAAAAGTGCATTAGGTAAAACGGCGTTCGGAAAAAAAATTTTCGGTAAAAATGCAATTCGGTAAAAAAGACGTTCGGTAAAGTGGATTCGGTAAAATGTACGGTAATCAAAAGATTCAATTATTTTCATAAATAATAAAATTTCATTTACGAATTCAATGATTTTCATCGCAGAATTTTAAATATTTGTAATACAATAATTATTAAAAATTTTATTAAAACTTGACGAAAGAAATGAATTTTAAGAAACATTCAATTATTCAATAAAACAATAAAATTCGTTGCAATAATTCAAATATTTTCATAAATAACATTTAATTCGTCGCAAAAAATCAATTATTTTCAAAAATTTTTAAGTAATTTTGCAAAAGAATTTAATTAGCTTGATAAACAACAAAATCGCATAAATTCTTCCCATAATATCAATTATTCTAAGGAATTTTAATAAAATTCTTTTCCAAAATTCAATTATTTTGATAAATATAATTATTTATCACAAGAATTCAATTCTTTTGAAAAGTAATAAAATACTTTGCAAAAATTAAATTATTTTCAAAATTTTTTGAAAATTCTCGTCAAGAATTAAATTATCTTTATAAATAAATAGGGAAATTCTTCTCAAGCATTATTGTCAAAAATTTTTAAAAATTCTCCTCAACACTGAGAGAAAAGAAGGCACACTGCTGTTCATTTGGAGGTTGTGTATCGCAATTCAAATTTGGATCAAGTGCGCACTCTAAAGGGGCGTGTAACGCGCCCCTTTAGAGCGCGCTGCTGACTCTTGACTCGTGGGACGCAGTGAGACCACATGGTCAAATAACCTAGGTTATGGAGACCATGCGAGCTCACTGCGTCCCATGTCAAGAGTCAGCAGCGCGCTCTAAGGCTGCGGTTACATCTCTGCAGGCAGCCTGCCTGCCTGCAGGTTGTCATGATAACGTACAAGAGTAAGAGAGTCAGTGACTTCAAACTTCTCCCTTACTCTCGTTGCTCCTGCCTGCGCAGGCAGGCAGCCTGCAGAGGTGTAACCGCAGCCTAAAGGGGCGCGTTATACGCCCCTTTAGAGTGCGCAGTTGATCCAAATTTGAATTGCGATACACAACCTCCAAATGAACAGCAGTGTACCTTCTTTTCTCTCAGTGAAGAAGTCAATTATTTTCAAAAATTTTAATAAATTTCTTCTCATGAATTCAATTGTTTTCAAAAATTATTATTTAAATTCTTCTCAGGAATTCAATTGAAGGGCTGGCTGCAAGAAGGGGTCGAATGCGTGGTTGAAAGGGATAATATCAACTCAAGGCTTGTCACTGCTACCCGTCTGGTACTATCCCTTCCAAGCCTCGCGTTCGTCCCCTTATTCTATGTAGCCCTTCAATTCTTCGTAAAAATTAAATTTTAAGAAACATTCAATATTATTTATTTTTGTATTTAAATAATTGATTTCTCGTAGAATTAAATTATTGTTTTTCGAACTTTTAACTAATAATTCTGTAGAATTAACTTTTTTGAAAAAGTTTAATTGAATAATAATTGAAGGGCTGGCTGCAATAAGGGGACGAACGCGAGACTTGGAAGGGATACTACCAGTCGGGTAGCAGTGACAAGCCTTGAGCCGCTCGCTGCTACCTGACTGGTATTATCCCTTTCAACCATGCGTTCATTCCCTTATTGCAGACAGCCCTTCAATTGATGTTATTGATTTAAAGTAGAATTTCAGTTAAAAATTCTAGAAAATGTTAATTGAATTGAAACTATACAAATAATTTTGAAGAAATTACAGTAACAATATTCTTATAATAATAAAATAATGATTTTATCAGTCGGTCATCTTTATGTTTTATAATAATATTCTTATGAGTTGTTCAATTTGAAAAGATTTGAATTTTAAATTTTTGAACATCTTAATTCCAATGAAAAAAAAATTATTAAAAAATATTTATTTTAAATAAAACTACACAGGTCAACAAAAAAAGACTTACTTTTTTTATGAGATAGCGGAATGGTTTCCGATGTATTTTTGGACGCTGAACACGATACCGAATTCCAAAATTGCCCATCACGTCAGGATTTTGAGAAAAGTGGGGGTAAAGACCCCAAAAACGCTTTTTTGAGGATTTTCAACATTTTTTTTCTCTTTAACCTGACGTGCTAGAGACTTCCACAAGGTCTTAAGTTAAATCTTGTAATGTGCACTACAAGACCAATATCCATAAAATAAAAAAAAATTAAATTTTTTTTCAAAAAATGGGATTGAAGACACCAAAAATTTGTGTTTTTGGATTGCTTTAATAGACTTTTTGCAATTGCTTGGATTCGCTTGAAAATGGTTACTTGGGGTTTTTGGGGTCGCTGATTACGAATCCGATATTAGTTTGGGGCCGTACACATAATACGTCACGCGGCTAGGGGGAGGGAGGGGGTCTGAGAATTGTGACTAAGTGTGACATGGGGGAGGGGGGGGGGGTGAACTCATGTGTTACGTCACGATCTTTTAAATTCAAAGATAATAAGAAATTATATCTGACAATGTCACTTTTTCTAAATAAAACAAGTTAAAAATGGTTTGAACTATTTAATATCTATTATGTATCTGTTTAACATCTATTGGCATATTATTTATAATATGATAAATAATATCCCGTGTAGAAATATCCCTATTATGGCCATATTAGGGAATGAAACATACGGCCCGACCTGGGCCAGATCGGGGCGACGATCAAATGTGGATTTCCTGATCAGGGCCATATCAGGCCGTGTGTTTCATTCCCTAATATGGAAGGCCCGATCAGTCCCTGATCCGGACCATAGAGAAATTTCTACACGGGATATTCTCTTAATTTGAATCAATTAAAAATCATGGTTTTAACTGTCAATCAGCAGTGACTGACTTTTTGCTTCTGAATCAGTTAAAAATAACTGAAAAATTATCCACAAAACACCGAAATTTTTCTAAATATTGTATATTAAGGGGAGGTTCTCATTGCGGAGGCCAAAATAAACACAAACTTTGACAATTTTTTGCGAGGAACGGCTATGACTTAACGATGTAATTTTTTTTTCTAAATAAAGATACTTTCTTGAACTTTTAAAATATATATTTCATTTTAAAAAAAATGCAAAATGGCGGCCAATATGGCGCATCTAGAAAATAATGTTTTATTAAATAGGGAAAACGGTGGGCATTCTATACTGCGCAATTTTTAGTCTAAAACAAAAACTCAAAAATTTTTATAAAGGTGACATCCTAAAGAATAGGTTATACCTAAAAAATAGTTAAAAAGTTAATAAAATGACAAAATGGCGAACACATTTTTAAAAAAACTGCGTTTTTGCATTATTTTTCCATATTTGACCTCTTGTAAAAATCTCTATTGTTAACAATTTTATCATATTATAGGTATAACCCCAGTAGAATTTAGTTACCTTTAATTAGCCGCAAACCCGAAGTTGATTGATTAAATAGTTTAGACGCTACGATGCCCACCAGTTTGAAAAATCTTGTTTCGAGAAAACCGCGTTTAAAGTTTGAGAAATATTTTTGTGCAATAATTTTATTCTTTGCAATTCTTTGTTCAATTTGCGTATATGATAAATATCTATAGGTATTTAGGGTCGCTCTTTACGATTCTGAGGTCAGATTTGCAAAATTTTTAAAAATTGATTCGATTTGCCTGACATTTGTTACTCAGTGCTCGGGACGGCGGTGAGTTCAAGACTCCATAAAAACGAAAATATTCTTCGGATCAAAAAATCGCTATACACACATATTCTACATATATATAGCTTTAAAAAAATACAATAAAAAAGAAATCAATTTTTTTGACTCCCGCAATGGGAACCTCCCCTTAAAGATTTGCTTGCATAAGTCAAAAAATTTACTTGCAAAGTTTATTTTAAAATTGTGTAAAGATTTAAATTTCTCACTCCAATAAATGTCTATCGTCAAATTTTCTTAAAAATATAGCTTGAAACTTTCCTGAACATTTGAATTGCATTTTCGACTATACTTTCGTGAAAATTTTCCTGAAAATTTAACTTAAATTTTCGGAAAAGTTTCCCGCTAAACATTTATCGAAGTGGGATATTTAAATCTTTACACAATTTTAACTAAACTTTGCATTTAAATATTTCGAAGCTTGCGAGTAAATCTTTAGTAAATTTTTAGGAAAGTTTCGGTGCTATGTAGGTAGTTAAACGTGACTAATTGAATCAATCAAAAACAATTGTATTGAAACATCAGTTATTTTTAACTAATTGTCAGAAAAAAATATTACTATTTGAATTAGTGACTGATTTTTTGCTTCTAAATCAGATATTCTTAACTGATTCAATAATTTAGAGTGTAAGATATAATATACATATATATTGTCCAATGTATAAAATTTACAGTGAAATTTACGTGTGTGACGTGACGTAGGGGGGAGGGGGGGTTCAAGATTTGTGACGAAGTGTAACATAGGGGGAGGGAGGGGTTAAAAATGGTCAAAAATCGCGTGACGTATTATGTGTACGGCCCCTTTGCAAAAATTAAAAATGGCGGATTCGTAATCAGCGACCTCAAAAACCCTGAAATAACAATTTTCAAGCGAATCCAAGCAATTCTTAATTTTTACATCTGCCATCTTGGTTTCGCCGTTTTAAATTTTTGCAAACAAATATCGGATTTGTAATCAGCGACCCCAAAAACCCCAAGTACCCATTTTCAAGCGAATCCAAGCGATTGCAAGAAGTCTATTAAAGCAATCCAAAAACACAAATTTTTGGTGTCTTCAATCCCATTTTTTGAAAAAAAATTTAATTTTTTTTTATTTTATGGATATTGGTCTTGTAGTGCACATTACAAGCTTTAACTTAAGACCTTGTGGAAGTCTCTAGCACGTCAGGTTAAAGAGAAAAAAAATGTTGAAAATCCTCAAAAAAGCGTTTTTGGGGTCTTTACCCCCACTTTTCTCAAAATCCTGACGTGATGGGCAATTTTGGAATTCGGTATCGTGTTCAGCGTCCAAAAATACATCGGAAACCATTCCGCTATCTCATAAAAAAAAGTAAGTCTTTTTTTGTTGACCTGTGCTATTGATGTTTTCGAATAATTTTACTTTTAAAGAAATTTGTAAATAAATTTAATAAAACATTTTTTTGAGTATCTAATAATTTTTAGAGTGAATTATTTTCAAATAATTGAATTTTAAACTGTAGTTTCCTTACCTATTTGTTTTTTTTTTGTGAATAATTTAATTCTGAAAGAACTTTCTCAATATTATTAAAAATAATTTAATTTTTAGTATGAATAATTTATATCAATAGTTTAAAAATATTTAATTAAATTGTTTTAAAAATTAGTTTATTTATAAATTGGTGATCTAACAGAAATTTATAGAATAAGCTTCATTAGGCTTATTAAATTTTAAAAAACAAATTGAAATTTAATTTTTTATAGAATGAACCGAAAAAAATTTTTTAATTTAAAAAACTTTTTTTAATCAATAATAATAACTTTTTATTTATTAAATTCTTAATCCAGGCCAAAATGAATAATGCTACATAATGTTACGTCAAAACGAGAAACCTTTTTAAATATACCTAACGTTCCTCGTTTTAAATTAGTTTCATAAATGAATCTAATTTGGGATGAGGATAAGTCAATGAGCCTACTAAATGTATTGAGAGAATAATTTATTTAAAACCCAACAAGAAAGAAAAGAGTTGACAAAAATACAATGAGTACAAAAATTATGAATCTTACTTAAAGAATAACGATTACTGGTGGTGTGATGATAATCTGTTGTCCAATCTCAATAGTGTTGAGCGCTAGACGAAAAGGGGCCTTCTGGTTGTTGTCCTTAATGGTTGGGTATTAGTCCTCTTGTTTACACTAATGAGATAGTGTATTGTATTGTGAAAATATTTGCTTTTTTCCAGACAGTTGTCGCCTCTTGAGCAAATTTCGATGGTTCGAAATTTGTAATGTGTTGTTTCAATATTAGATCTTCGTTGATCGTTGAGGTTATTTCCAATTAAATATTTTTGGAAATTGTTGAAAATTTATGCTTTGCAAATTGGTGTATTATAAAAAGTTTATTTAAAGATCACTTTAAATTTAATACTTGGGAAAATAGTTCACTTTTAAAGATGTACTTTCAAAAATAATACTTGGGGATATACTGTTCACTTTTAAAGATGTACTTTGAGTTCACTTGTAGACGATATGATGGGTACAGGTTGATTTCCAACAAATTACATTACTCTCTGCTACTAAGCGATATGTTCAGGTTGATTTCTAAAAAACTACTCTCTGTTCTAAACAGAAATGGTACCCCTTTTTATATCAAACTTTCCTCATTAATCTAATGCTATTTGAATCTTTGCCTCTGTCGCGCGTTCCATTGCCTGAACGACCATGGGCCTCTTCTTGTGCGACAAGCTTCCCCACTCGACGTTTGTTGAGTTTCCTTACTGCTCTATGACTTAATTCGTAGAACACGTATTGAAGGTTGTCGAAAATCGTTAAACTGATGCACAATTATTATTCTGTTTACGTGATTCAACATTACTTTTCTAATTGATGCATGATCGTTATTCTTTTTACATGGTTCAAAATATTACTCTTCTTTCTTTAATTTGTTATAATTTATAAATTTGTTTAAATACATATAAGATATATAATAATGATTACCATATTTATGAGATATACTAAAACATATAGAGAGTACTTCAAATACAACAATAATAATATAATATATAGGTAAAATTAAAAGGAATTAAACATGTAAATATTATAGTTAAATTAAGTATATGTGAAGAAGTTACGGACGTAACAATAATTATGTTTTACACTGATGATAACGGAAGTTTGAATAATGCAAAAAATAAATATCAATAAATAATATATTAATTCACAAAATTCAAACAGAAAGTATTAAGTAGAAAGTAAAATGTATAGAAATAAGTAGAAGTAGAAAAAAAGGCTCGATTCATTCCGTATTTTAAAAACTTAACTATTCCAACAAAGAATCATAATTTTAATTTTTCTCTAGTAGTTAACACAAATTAATTGTAATAATAATCCGTGCGATAACTTGATAATTTACTAGGTAATTATATTCTGTCATTTTTCACATTAATTGAAAATAATTTTATTTTCTTTGAAATTTCAGCCTCTGTCAACGAAAATAAAGTCGAGGTCTCGGATCTACAAGAACAAGTTATCAAATTCAAAGCATTGCTTTCGGCCAAACGAGAACAAGTTACAACGTTGAGAACTGTTCTCAAGTCCAACAAAAACACGGCGGAAGTTGCATTAACAAATTTGAAGAGTAAATACGAAAACGAAAAGAGTGTCGTTAATGAAACTATGCTCAAATTGAGAAATGAACTTCGAGTGTTGAAGGAAAATGCTGCCACATTCTCAAGTAAGTTTCTTTCGAATTCACATTATTTTTTTGTTTTGTTTTTGCAACACTTTTTTTCTATCACGCACTGCAGCAGGGTTCGAATTTATTTTTTATCTCTTTCTCTTGAAAACAAAGAAGAAAAGTTTATTTTTGCTTCCTCATAAGGAAGCTTTGCATTCGTGACGATTTTCAATTTTTCAAAAGAAGGTTATATGGACTCATTTTCATCTATAACATATGTATATTCAATTCTGAGCAAATGTCCAGATGTATGTGTGTGTGTATGTGTGTGTGTGTATGTCACAAAAATTGTGTACAAATTATCTCAAACAAATATTGATGGATTGTCTTGAAATTTTGCAGGTTTATTGCAGTCATTAATACCTAAAATCTAACACAAGGATTTTCAAAAATATCTAAAAAAAAATGTTTATACAATTTTTTTAAAATTAAAAAAAAATTTTTTTTGTATTTTTGTAATTAATTTTTTTATTTGTTAATATTTTAATTAATTATTCTCAAAATTACATTCCTGACAAGAAAACGAATCGATTGATGTATACAAAGTATATTTTTTATCAAAATTTATAAAATTAATAGAAATTTTTCTTTTTCACAAAAAATTCAAATTTTGTATTTTTTCATAATTTATTTAATATTAATATTTTTAAATGATTATTCTATCATAAAAAAAAAAGCAATTTGCATATGAAATAGAGGTGTGCATTTAATCGAGTCGAACCGAACATTAATCGACTCGACAACAGAAAATTCGAATCATTTCGAATTGCAAAAGTTTGCAAACCGCAATATAATTACATTTAATTTATGAATATATCTTGCTGCATCAAAAAGAAATTTCCTTAAGAAGAATGTATGCTTTGATTGTTATGCTTTTGAAAAATCATAATTTGGTTTTCATGGAGATTTGTACCTAAAATGAAGTAATGAATATATTATTAACTTTAGTAAATATTTTATATGTTTGATTGGATTCTATCCCGATTCTATGCGATAAATTTAATTTTATACATATGTTTAGATGGAGTTTGCTAAAATTTTGTAAGTGAATTACGTCACGAATTTATATTTTATATGTTGAGGAAGCTAAATGGTCATGAAATGAACAACTTGTTTATCTTTATAAAATCAAAATTTGTAATAAGCAATACATAGGTTTACAAATTAAAAACTTTTTCTGCCAATCAAACAAAACATTTTTTTTCAAATAGTAGGTTTTTTTTGAGTAAGAAAATCATAGTTTAAATTTTTTTTCCCTCGTGCAGTTTTTCTGTAGCTTCAAATTTTGCATTTTCGAGGTGCGACGCCACTTAAACTTACCTGTAGGAAAATTAGCTTATCAGAATGTAATAAATGAGGTATCATTGAAAAGGTTATTAAATTATCTTTCGATCCATAGGTCACAGAATAAAATTCAACAAAAGTGGAGAGAGTTACAGTCGATTGAAGATGAAATTTCATGACAATTTTGATGATTTTTAGACATTTGAGTAATTTCTACTATTTTTTTCTACATCAAACAGGAAAGAATGTTTAGGTTTTAATTTTTTTTATTGATAGACTATATCATTACACAAATTTTAAGCCCTTGTGGACCTCGATTGGATTAAAAATGACAATTCTACACTAAAATTAGTGAACGAAACTACATTCTTCATTTTTAGTATCCCTTAAACATTTGCAGCAGAAATTGAAGTAATAAAATTTAGTTAAGCTCTAAAGTTACTAAAATCACTAATCAAGGATTTCTGAAGTCGTAGATTTCGAATGCAATGTTAGTTTTGCAAATTTCAAAATGGTGGATTCAATATGGCCGACAAGTTTTTAAAAATCGATGAAATTCGTCTCAAATTCGTTACTCGGGGGTTTTCAGGGTCGCTGATTACGAATCCGATGTCAGATTTCAAAAATTAAAAATGGCGGAACCAATAGGTGCGAATTCGATGGATTTTAAAAAACTCGTTCACCATTATGAATCCATCATTTTCAATTTTCGAAATCCGACATCGGATTCGTAATCAGCGACCCCGAAAACCCCCGAGTAACGAATTTAATTGATTTTTAAAAAAATTTGTCCGCCATTTTGAAATTTAGAAAACTAACATTGGATTCGAAATCTACGATTTCAGAAATCCTTGATTAGTGATTTTAGTAACTTTAGAGCTTAACTAAATTTTATTACTTCAATTTCTGCTGCAAATGTTTAAGGGATACTAAAAATGAAGAATGTAGTTTCGTTCACTAATTTTAGTGTAGAATTGTCATTTTTAATCCAATCGAGGTCCACAAGGGCTTAAAATTTGTGTAATGATATAGTCTATCAATAAAAAAATTAAAACCTAAACATTCTTTCCTGTTTGATGTAGAAAAAAATAGTAGAAATTACTCAAATGTCTAAAAATCATCAAAATTGTCATGAAATTTCATCTTCAATCGACTGTAACTCTCTCCACTTTTGTTGAATTTTATTCTGTGACCTATGGATCGAAAGATAATTTAATAACCTTTCCAATATTTGTTTCTATTATTTAAAAAAATCGTACTTTATTATTAGATGGAAATATTTTTTATAAGATGTAAAGTTAATTAGGTATTTATCAATCCTCAAAGTCAAACTGTTAAAAATAAAAACACAAAAATTCTTAAAGTTTCGACAGTCCTGCTGTCCTCATCAAAAAAAGTAAAATAATTTAAAAATTAAAAACCTGTTTGTTGTGTTCATCGTTCTGGTTCATCGCACAGGTTTTTAATTTTTAATTTATTTTACACGTGTTATATTTTTTGTGTTTTTATTTTAAACATATTGACTTGGAGGATTGAGAATGCACTTTACATCTTATATTACCTTTTACGGAGTGATAAATTCTACTTCTATTTGAAATATGTTTTGTTTTTCATTTGGAATTTGTTTCTTCTATCTTTTTTATCTGAAATTAATTTTTTTAATTGACATTGACAATTATTTTTGAATTGAATCTAAAAATTTTAAGTGTATAATAATTATTGAAATTAAGATTAAAAAAATATTCTCAAAAACCCTGCGGTGCAGTTTTATTTTTTTACAATTAAAAAAGCTTAACAATAAATCATAATTTTAAAATTGTATTTTCTGAGCAAGAATGGATGTTTATTTTTAGTTTTTAAACAATTGTTTTAAATTTTATTTTACTCCATTTTTTTTCAGTGGAAAAATTGAATTTTTTATAGAAAAAAAAGACGAAAGCTTGAAATTAAAAAATACTCTAAATAAAGACCAGCAAAAATAAACACTTATTTTTCTACATCATTTTGCACTACAAATTATTCTGGTAAACAACAAAATACATCTCTTAATGTATACAAAAATTAGGTACCTATTTCAAATAAATAATGAAAACATACGCTTAGAAAATTTTTTTCTTATTTTGAAGTTAAAATGTCAGCAATTGATTTTTAGAGTATTTTATTTCTTTTTTTCCAAAGGAAAGTTATTATGGATTTTCAATAGATTCAATAAAAGATTAGGCTTGAAAGTATTAGGAACTTATATTTTTAAATTTTATGAAAATTCAATTTTCATTCTTGCTCAGAGGTAGGTAATACAAACATTTGCCAATCAAATTGCTTGTTTCCAAATTTAAAAAAACGTTTTCTAATTGATTCATTAATTGCAGTTTTTTAAATAAAATTTTGAACAAAAACTATTTTTTTAAACTTTGTTAGTTTAATATCATTTTATAAAGATAACACGAATTAAATTTTATTTTTAATAGCAAATAGTTATAGTATAATTTCTGAAAAAATATATTCTTTCTAGTCTTTTGCAAATTTATTGTTTTGTTTTTTAATACTCGTCCTATTTTTTGTTTGTTTTTGTTTGCACAATAGTAAGAATATCAGTATGAAAAGCTATACTAATTTGAGTGTTTTCTTTTTTTTTCTTCCACTAATACGCACTTTTAATACTTGCTAATACGCCTCATATAGTATTAATACAAATAATTCTATTAGTGTGGAGTTGTGCCACTGTGGATCTTAATGCTGATTTGGTGGTTTGCATTCGCAATTCTCGTACTGCCATTTAACAAATGCCATAACATTTCCTCAAAGAAATTTATTATTTATATACAAAAAAATCTAATTTACTGACAAACTTTTGTGTGCCGAAGCTAGTCATTTTAGTCGTTACAACAGCTCAAATAATTGTGCAAAAAGGTGTTCCAGAAAATTATATTCTTTTTCTTTTTTCATTATACCTAGGTAGTATATTATGTATTTAAAATTCTAATTTTAATCCTAGATTTCTAATTTGAAAATATTCTTGCACTTCACCTTAAACAAAAAGCTTGAAATATGAATTAAATTGAATCGTGAATTTCGAAAAAGGCTCAACTCTAAAAACCATAAGTGTCATTTTCACATCACAAATGACAGTGAAAATGACTCTTACGGTTTTTTGAGTTGAACCCTTTTCGAAATTCACGACTCAATTATTCTTGCTTTTTTAGTGTAACGATTATAATTGCTTAATGGAGAATCAGTGATTCGATGTTTCTCAAAATTTCTTTCTACTATTTCTTTTTAATTCAAAACTTAACTAAACCAAATTACTTACCTACTATATGAAAATTAATTGTGAATTACTTTTTATTCATTTTATTCACATTTTTTGTTTTATCTCTATGTATTTATTCATCTTTTTGTTTAATATTTATCAGTGCTTTTTTAGGTAAGGAATTTTTGTTTTTCTCTGCAATATTCGAATTTCCAATTAAGAACTAATTTTTAAATTATATTACATTTTCATTTATAGAAAAAATTTATGTAAAAACAGGCCTCGAATAATATGATTATTTCGACTTTTTTTAAAACAATTTTCAAAAAATTTGTTGTTTTTCGACTTATTAAAAAAACAAGTTTTTCAATGATTCAAATATTATGGAAAACATTATTAAGTTTCTTAAAGTATTTTATTTGAAAATCGAATGTTGAATTTATAAAAATTAAAGGTAGTTTCA